TGTCTGCCATGTAGTAGTTCCTGTATGGTAGATGATGTTTGCTAGAGAATTTTGTCTTGTGTGAAACTAAACCATGTCACACCACATGAACCAAAATGTGCTTTGAACAGGAGTGTGAAAACTTGGCCTTTTGTCCTCATGTTGTGGTCCCTGCTTTCATTTTTTAAGGGAGTAACTCTGCTCCTGTGCTGTTCTTACCATGGACACTTCCTGGAGCTGGATGCAGACTAGGAATGCTTGTGGCCCACGTTGGGTGGGCTGTCACTGAGGTGGGCCTGTAGACACTGAATTACATGTAAAATATTATGTGTTGACTAGTTAAATTTTACATTGGAGTACTTGTCTGTAAAGGTGGTTTAACGTATTCCTGGAAAAACAAGGATGAGGAATGAGAAAATTTTCTCAGAGTAAGGCACCTCTGCTCAAATACAGAGGAGTTAAGGAACAGTATAAAAATGTTTCTTTGATGACTTTATTTCCATTGCAGACAAGCTACATAACATTTAAAACCACAAAAGACAGAAGAATCTTGGCATCGTTTAAAGGGCTTTGAGCAAGGAACAGGGACTGGAAGGAGGTGTTTCTTGTGGGTGTGGTTTTGTTTTTTTCTAAGAAATCAGATGATAATGTAGAACATAATGGCAATGAATAACGAAGTTACACTTGCCTAAGTTAAACTTCTAGGTAAGAATGACACATACAGAGTTGTATTTGTTTGAAAGCCCAGTTTATCTAACCAAGGGTCTCCTGTTGCTGAAACAGTGTATTTGTTTCAGATAGACCCCCCAAACCCTGAGGACTTCAGAGGGGGAACAATTAATGCAGAACCAAAATCCACAAAACAAAGTGTCACATGAATGTTAATGTTACAGCTCTGAAACTGATGTGTTTTGTGTTTCTCAGTCTGAATACACACATTAGCCAAGTCTTGACTGCAAGTTGAGAACTTGGGAAATAGTTCTTTATTTAAGCGGATAACTCATAATGGTACCAAACACAAGATCATTTGCATAATTCTTTCACTATTTCATGTGTATTCAATATACCAAAAGCAGTCTCTTTACAAGTGGAATAAAACTTAAGAAATCACTTTTTTTGAGATTCTTCTATTTCAGAAACTTGCATAAATCAACAAAGGCTTGTGAAATCCCTGTCTGCTCCATTTATTGTGATTTGAAATTTTCTGCTTTGTTTATACTGCTCTTTTGGAAGTACAAAGATATTTTTCTTCACCCTACTAATTTTGACTTTTTCCATTTAGGAATCATTGATTCACCCTCATTTTTTCGTACAGCTGCCATTTCAATTCTGTTTAAAAAACTTGTGACACCATATCTTTGTTCCACAGCACCACTGGTTGAAGTAGACACAGCTGTGGTTAAGAGAGTATTTGATCAGTTAATTTCTGGCACAGAAAGGGGAGGATGAGCCCAAATATATGCATTTTCATATGTGGCGCATAGCATTGTTTACCTTCTGTTTCTCTTGTGATAGGTAGATTTTACATTAAACTATTTGGGACTGCATCTGGCTCAGGGGATTGCTGATGTCCCATGTGATCTTTTTCCAGTAGATTTTTGGTTCTAATTTGATCCAAATTATGATTATCTAAAGACTTTTCGTGGCGTATGCAAAATCACTTGATTGTCACAGTCCTGTTCCTAGTTGGCGTCTGTCCGCACCACAGAAAGTACAGTCCTGACTATCACAGCTGGTACTCTTTGTGGAAAAGACAAGGATTCACTGACTAAATTTTCTCTCACTGAAGTCAGAAGTAAATTTTACTTTCAATTCCGGTGCAGCACAAGCAAGAAATGATTTAGTATTAATGCCTTCCTTCACTCTTCAAAAGATGATCCCTTTCAAGGACACAATGGAGAAGTGTAAACTGCTGCTGGCTCTACAGTAACTTGAAGCGGACAAAAAAAAAAAAAAAAGGACTGGAGATTCTACTTCGATAGCTGTGACACCTTTTGAGTGAACAATCCTAATATTTGTGTCCCAAAGACAACTGGAGTAGGTGTCAGGACCCCCGGGGGAGGGGGGGGTGGACTGGTGTCTGTATCTCTGTATATGCCTTCCTGTTTTCAGGTTTATTTACTTTCCTGCATTCGGATGCACAGGGTCCACTCAGGTCCAAAGCACACTTAGCCCTATAATCCATTCAGAAACCAGGGTGACAGGAAGCCACTCTGTGCATTGACCTAATGGAGCTGTTTGTCTCTGCTCTCCTTCCACAGCTCTTGCTCTAATGTATTCTCCATCCTTTTTTTTAATCTCTTATTTGCACAGTCCTGAACTGCCCTTTACACAGAACAATAAGGAGTTGGCTGTATATTCCACAGTAATGACATCAAAGGATGATAACAATTAGCACTTCATTTAGCATCTTAACTATAACACAAAGATGCCTAGCCAGCAGTATCTCAGGCACATGGAGAAACTGGCCACACAGAAAAGAATTTAATGACCTGGCCAGCCATGAAGGAAGCTATTGAAAACAGCAATCAAGATTTTTTTATTTACAGACCTAGTTCCATCCACCAAAATATTCTGTCTCCACAAGACTGATGTTTACAGGAAAATTACTCATATCTTATCTGTGATGACAGTAGCACTGAAACCTGCCATGCCTTTATTCCAATTACTTTTGTATTGTCTTTTTCACGAGGGCAAGTTCAGTAAGGAATTACTTTCTTATAACTAATGTAAACCTGCCATCTTTCAGTTTAAAGCCATTACCCCATCCTGTCACTATATGTCCAATGTAAAAAGTCCCTCTCCAGATTTCTTGTAAGCTCCTTTTAGGCACCTTGCTCTAAGATCTTGGATTCTTCTCTTCTCTAGGCTGAACAACCCCAACTTCTCTCCAAAGGAGACAGGGAGGTGTTCCAGCCCTCTGATCATCTGGGCTCACTCCAGCAGGTCCATGTCTTTCTTGTGCTGGAGCTCCAGAGCTGGACACAGCACTCCAGGTGGGATCTCACCAGAGCAGAGTAGGAGGGCAAAATAATCTCCCTCAACCTGCTGGCCATTCTGCTTTTGATGCAGCCCAGGATGTGGTTGGTTTTTGGGCTGTGAGCACACATTGCTGCTTCATGGGGAGCTTCTTATCCATCAACATCTGCAAGCGTCCCTTCTTATTTCCTGCCCAACCTGTATTCATGTTTGGGATTGCCTCAACCCAGGTGCAGGATCTGGCACTTGGCTTTGCTGAACTTCATGAGGTTTGCACAGCCTCATCTCTCAAGCCTGTCCAGACCCCTCTGGATGGCATCCCTTTCCTCCAGCCTGGTGACCACACCACACAGCTTGGGGTGGACAGTGCTGAGGGTGCACTTGATCCCACTGTCCATTCCATCAACAAAGACATTAAACAATGCTGGTCCCAAGACTGATCACCGAGGAGCACCACTTGTCACTGGTCTGCACTGGAACATTGAGCTCTTGACCACAACCCTTTGAGTGCAATCATCCAGCCAGTTCCTTTGTTCCTTATTCACCAAGTAGTTCATCCACCCAATCCATACCTCTCTAGTTTAGAGACATGGATGTCATGCAGGACTGTGTCAAATGCTTTGCACAGGACCAAGTAGATAATGTCAGTCGCTCGTCCCTCATCCACCAATGCTGTGACCCTGGTATAGGAGGCCACCTAATTTGCACAATTTGCCCTTGGTGATACATCTTGCCATTCTTTCTGCATGACATCATTAACATTTGGGGTTTTTGTGTTAATCCACATGGGAAAAACTCTTAGACAGACATTCTCCATTTTAGTCTCAACTATTGTAACAAACTTTTCTTCAGTTTGAGAGAATGTTGTCCAAATTGCATCTATTCAAACTGCTATTGCAAAGAACATTATTCCAGCTTGTAGCCACAACTGTACGATTTCCTCTGAAACTTTCTACTGACACTTATTTCTTCTTAATCCCATCGTAGAAAAAGCAACTCCTCTTCAGTATTAAGGGTCCATCTCTCTCATTTGATGTCAGGATCTGCTGGCTTTGGCAAGGGAGAAAAAGGCATGAATGAATGCCTTACTGCACAGGAGGGACTTGTTTTTTCAAGCCAAGAATTTATAGCATTTGGTGTAAATCCCACAGAGACTCCCCAGGAACACAAATGACAATTCCATGTGCAGGTGGTGATTAAGTGGAAATCATGGGCAAAGCACATGTTCCTTATTTTCAAGAAAGGTACAAAAGCTGTCTAAGGGACATCTAGTAAGGATTACAAACGGCTTCATTTCTTTCTAGGCTTGGCCAATAATTCCTGGTAAACTCTCTGTATAAAGGCCTGAGTCCCTCAGCCCAGCAATGCCACCCTTCAAGTGGGTGACTTGGTTTTCTCCCATGGCTCTCAATAGAATCACAAAATGGTTTGGGTTGGAAGGAACCTTAAAGACAGAAGAAGGGACCTGAACATGAGCCAGCGTGTGCCCAGGTGGCCAAGAAGCCAAGTGGCATCCTGGGCTGCATCAGGAATGGTGTGGCCAGCAGGAGCAGGGCAGGGCGCTGTGCTCTGCACTGCTGAGCGAACCTGTGAACAGCTCCGGGCCCCTCAGTCCAGGAAGGACATTCAGGAGCTGGAGCGGGTCCAGCGGAGCTGGGGCAGGGTCTGGAGCACAGGTCCGGGGCGCAGCAGCTGATGGCGCTGGGGCTGTTTGCCCGGAGCAAAGGAGGCTCGGCTGTGCCCTCACCGCTCCCCACAGAGCCCTGAGGAGGCTGAGGCCGGGCGGGGATCGGGCTTTTCTCCCAGGAAACAAGGGACGGCACAAAGCGACATCACCCCAGGCTGTGCCAGGGGTGGTTGGGGTTGGACATTAGGAGGAATTTCTTCACAGCAAAGATGATTGTACAAACATTGGAATGTGCTGCCTAGGCAGGTGGTGTTGTCGTCCCCAGGGGTGTTTCAGGCATGACTGCCCTTGGCACTCAGTGCCGGGGTCTGTTTGGCGCGGTGCTGTTCGCTCCCGGCTGGACTCGATGCTCCCAGAGCCCTTTCCCGACATAATCGATCCTGCGGTTTGTCCCCACACGCGGTTTGACCCGCGCCGCCCGCCGTAGGCCGCTGCCCCCCGCGCATGCGGAGTAGCGGTGGCGCAGCGGGAGCGCGGCCGGCGGCGCGGAAGGACCTTGGCGGGCTCTGAGGTGAGGCCGCTCCCGCTCCCGCGCGGCTCCCGCTGCTCCCTCTTGCTCCCCTCATTCCCTCGAACTTCCCTTATCATCCCCATCCCTAGGGCCGCCAGCCGCCGCTCTCCGCTCGGCCGGGTACCTGCGGCAGCTCCGTGACCTCTGCGCGTCCCTGAGGGTGGCGGAGCCGGGCCCAGCGGCGGCGGCTGCAGCGCGGGGCTGGGGCGCCCTGGGTGAGGGGCTGGCCCCAGCCTGCCCCCGGTACTGCTTGGAATGTCTTCTGACAGGACAGCAGGCCTGGGAGGGGAGACCCTGCGGGGAGCGCAGGATTTAGTGTGAACAACCGAGGCCAGCCTTGATTCCCCAAATACTGGGTGTAAGGAGTGTAAGAACGTAAACTAGAATCGTGTCATAAATAGGTTGTCCTTGAATTTTGTCCCTTAAATATTCTCATTGGAAGGTCAAGCACACAGGACCACTGTTGCTTATACCGTGAAGATGACTCTTGCACAATGCAAAAAGAATGATCTTTCTGCAGTACCGAAAATTATTTTAAGTAGAGCTTCTCCCACAATTCTCTTTGTTTGTTTTTTCTTTCAGGAAATCCAGTCACCATGTCGGCTGCACTGTTGCCCAAGCCCCAGATGAGGGGCCTGTTGGCCAGGCGGATGAAGTTTCACCTCCTGGGGGCATTCGTGGTGTCTGTGGGATGTGCAGCTTTGTACAAGGTGGGCTCTGTAGTCACTTGGTTATAAACTGGGCTCACTGGAATATTTAAAGAATTCATAATATTTTTCTGTTGAGATTGGGTTGAGCTGTTCATCAGAAAGGTTTAGTGATGTATTTTTGTAAGCATCTTTCCAAAGCACAAATAAATCTTCCTAATCTTCATTTGAAGAAATGATGTGAATAATCTGATTCATGCTGTGTGTTCAAGGTCAGGCAATTCCTGACAACTCCACCTTGAGTCTCCTAGTCCCAAAATGCTCCTGACCATTCACAGCTGATGCATGTTAACTCCAGGTAGTTTGTGCTTTGGTCTGCCACAGTTTCTGAGGCTTGGGAGAGTTGTCCAAGTCTTACTTTATTTCTTGATAGAGTTCAGGAAACTTGCTCTAAAGCAATTGGAAGACTCATCCTTCACACTGAAGATATCAGTGTGGGAAGACCCAGTGTGGTTTATCTGTCCTTGCTCTTGAGGTATTGTGTGGAAATGGAGCATTATGTTTCTGGAGAAACACCCTTACAGGCTTAATTTCTGATAAAGATAAGAGCTTGTTCTTCAGTGCTCTTATTAAATAATTCTTGGATCTCATAGGTGAAGCAAACAACACAGGGTGAATTGTTGTGGAAGAGCTGGATCTTGGTTTTCCCCTTTAACTCGTGCATATATATTGGCAGCATTTGAGTGCTCAGGAAGTTGTTGACAAAAGTGACAAGAAATGAAGTTAATTTCAGGTTTTTCACACTTCTCGGAGCCACAAATGTCTGTCAGAAACAATAAGCTCACACATCTGTACTTAACACATCTGTTGAGAGGTAGACAAGCTTGTTTGTGGTCAGGCTTAGAAGATGATGTTTTAACAGTCTCTGCTCCAGTAGCTTTGGCACCCCATGTTAACACACGGGTTAGGTGGCAGACAGGTTTAGAGCAGTGACATGGATCTCAGCAGCCATTTGCTTTGTTCCATGTCAGATGCTGTTGTACAAACCCACCTCAGAATTTTTTTTCAAGTATTTGGGAGGTTTTTGAGTATATCCTGTGCTTCAGGTGAATGGGTATCCAAGAAATGGGAATTGTGTCTTTTTATGCTGGTGACTTGGTAAGAGTGGCTTGGCAGTCTTGTAAAATGTTACCAGATGTAGGTGACCTACAGTGTAGCTCACATGTAGCCCTTCAGTGTAGGATGCCATTTTATTTGGAGTTGGAGTTTTGCAGCTGCCCAGAGGCACGAAACTTGCCATGATGACATGTTTTATGTATAAATCCATTAGCAGGGAGGGTGTGGGACACTCTGGTGTCAATACAGATGGAGTGGTTTTGGATCTTGGGAGTGTGATGTGCGACCTTGTAACAGGCTGTAAGTTTTACTGCAGACATTTGTTCTCCTGACCAATGATCAGGTAGCCTGACTGTGGGTTTTAACAGGAGCAAAGGAATGTTTAATAATTTGAGCTAAAGGCCTTTAGATGAATACCCACTGATAGACATTATGGAACTAACAGAAGAAAGATTTGCACATAAGGCTTTGCAAACTTTAATTTTCTGTGTGTTACTTTCCAGTTTGGAGTTGCTGAACCCAGGAAACGAGCTTATGCAGACTTCTATAGAAACTATGATCCCATGAAGGACTTTGAAGCCATGAAGGCAGCTGGTGTGCTTGAGAGTGCTCCAGCCAAGTGATGGTAAGCTGCACCTGCAGGTAGTGAGCTGCACTGCATTACATCAGGAGTAAGATGATTTCAGTGAGATGTTGTGCTTCTGCTTGGAAGAATCTTCCTTTTTTTTTTTTTTTTTCAAATTGAAAGGGTTTTGCAAAGAAAGAGGGTACAAATTGCACTCAAGAGACCTGAGTAATAAAAATGGAAGAAACAGGAGAACTGGGGTCTGGGGAATAAAGGCAGGATAGAAGCTCCTGAATACCTTTTGTGTAATTTGTTTAACTTGTGGGTACAGGAGACAGAGTGATGATGCCAGGCCTTTGCCCTCGTCACATAACCAGGGAGAGGAGACAAAGCTCTAATGTTGAACTCCACGACTTGTCTGATTCCACAGTTAAGTTCATGCTGTCACATCTTGAACTGCTTAACTTGGGGCTGTCTGTATCTTCTGCTTACATACTTGTGGTGGTACAGTGAGAGAGAAAATGGAGAGGCTGATTCTCTCTCCTAGCATACATCTTAATGTAAGAAACAGAGACAGCTTCTGCATATCATTCGGTATTTTGAAGTTGGTGAGGGGGGAAATACATCTATATATACCTATACCTATATCTATATCTATATATATGTATATATTAAAAATCACAGTGGCATACAGCTCTGTGTTCTAATAATCACATTTTTGCCATATTGTATGAAGCTTGAATAGAACTTTGTTCACAATACTCTTTGAACACAGTATTGTGAACACAATACTTTGTTCACAATACTTGACACTGCCTTTTCTAGGAAAACTACCCAGCTTTGTTCTCCCTTGCTAGTAACACCAGGAAAAAAGTCTTGATTTCAACTGTGTTGTAGTTATTAATAACTACACTCACTAAGCTGCACAAGCTGATGTGACAACTCAATAGAGTTCCTCCCCCTTTCTTGGTTGCAGATTTTTTACATTGAGTTCTCTGCTTCTCCTAAAATGACTTCAGACTAATCTAGAATGATAGTTTTTCATTCTTTTGGAATGTTTTCATATTGTGATCATTACGTGATAATCTGTGGCTTTAATTATCCTGGCCAGCTGGATTTTCTCAGCTTGTTTGCATGAACAGGCAAGATTGAATAAAAGATTTGTACTTAACACTACGAATACTGAATTCTGTTCTATGACAATCTGCATCTATCTGGTTTCTGCTTAGCACAATTTTGTAAAAAAGCTCAGAGCACCATCTCTTCTAAAAAATGAGAAAAAAGGTAAAAAGTCCTTGTATTAGTCCCAGCTTTTGGTAGTGTTTTGGTTTTTTTTGTTTTGTTTTGAGTGGGATACTCCTGTTCTTTAGCTAGACTTGCAACAAACATAAATAATGAAATTATGAATTTATCTGGTTTAAATCATGGTAATTCTGCCTCTGATTCAGTCCTCTGGCTATTTTATATTCACTTTTAAACTTCTTTAGATACTAGAATTGCATCCTTTAGTCAGGTGGCCTTCATCACTGTATTCTGAAGGGCCATCTGGTGGTAAAATAATTTGAAACAAACACTATCAGCAAGGATGCATGCTGAATATTTAATTCAAATCATGAGCAGGATTTATTTCTATACAAATAGAGCTCCATTCTCAGCTTGTGTTCCCATTGGCAGCTTAAAAAAAATTGCACATTGTGTGCACCTGTTAAAATTAAACGTTTCCTAAACAATTTTTCAATTTCTTAATTGTACTGGCTCAAAAAAAAAATATGGGAAACAAATCCTCTTTTGTGATTTTGTTTGAATTACTGATGCTTCTTATTCCTTAGCCTGTTTATGTAAGAACAGACATTTTTTCACTCTTTCATAGTAGAAAGAGGTTGTTTTTTTGTGCCTGCACATGAATACAAAAGTAGAGGAAGGGGAAAACAATGCCAGTGTTTCAAATGTTCTGTAAAGGCTGTATAGAAGGACAAGTACCCAGAACAGATGGAAGACATTTTCGTTTGCCTCAGAAGCTTAAATCGTAGCTATTTTGAATTTTAAGCCTTTAGTTGGTGTAGTTACCTAAAGGTTACAGTGATCATGCACACTCTGCATCTCCCAGTATTCTGCAGTGTGTCCTGTATGTGGCAGTAAATGTGGAACCAGAACTGAGCCCCAGATTGAGGCAGGGGGCGGGTGGGCAGGAAGGAGTTCCTTAGTTATGGTGGTAGCATGGCACTCCACACCAAGTTTGTTCCTGCTGGGCATGGAGGGACCTTGGCACCTCCCTGTGAATTCACACTTTTCCATCTGCTTGGTGTGGACTCTGGTGGTGATAGTGACAGTGGAAATGAAGTGCAGGGATAAATGTGAGGAGTATCTGGCATCTGCTGTGTGCTCAGCCATGGAATAAAGGGGAAGCTCAGAGTTTGGTGCTAACCACTTTCAAGACTCTTGTCATGGAGCACAGCTGGTCTTGGATTGTGTTCAGTATAACGGGGAGAAGCAATTTGAATTTGGTTTTCTTCCTTCCTTGGTAGGCTGCCTGCACCACTTGTTTCCTCTCTGGCTCCTATCTGAAAGCTGCATTCCTTTCTCCTGCAGGCCCTTAGCAAGACTGATTCAGTTACCAGTGCAGCATATATAGTGAATCTGATGTGCTGTGCACTGTTGTTCCAGCTCTTGATTTGTTCCATGTTTCACTTCTGTTTGCCACATGAAGGGTGTGTGAAACTTCAAGCTCAGGAAATAACGGGGAATTCCTCTAGACTAAACTACCGCATAAACTTTTCTCTCTGCTGCTCTGCATTCGTACATACTAATACGTTCACTTGGAGCATGAAGTTTGTCCATCATAACTTAATGGGCTTTTTTTATCTTGCAGATTCCCTTCATTTCAAGAAGACTTGATGACTGAACCTTATTTGTTCACTGAAGTGTAAAGTGCGATGCACCACAGTGCATGGCACGCGCTAATGCAACTCAATAAATAAAATACATATGTCAGTGACGTTTAGTTCTCTTCATTAATGTAGAAATACTTAAAGGCTCAGGTACTGGGTGGGTGGAAAGAGGGGTGGAAAGTCTTCAGAACTTGCCCAAGATGACTAAGTCCATCTTTCCTCCAGGAATTATTTGCATCTCTCTTTTGGCCCAGTTCCACATTTGATAGCACAGTATATCCCTAAGCAGTGACAGCTAGTTTGTCCCAGCTGCTTATGGGAATGTGCAAGAGGACAGATGTTGCAGGAAGAGAGAGGATGGATTTCTGGAGGGGTCTGTGTTACCTCTGGCTTCACAAGGTGAGCTGACCTTGAGACGAAAGAATTTGGCTAGAAATTCTGGAAATACACCAGCCAACCTTTTTGTCTTTTTCTGCTGTCATCACTGTATTGTCTTCCTTACATCAGCGAACTGTTACAGCAAGACTTACAGACTCTGCAAATGCCCATTCTTACACACGGTATATTAGTAACTCTAATTGGAAAATGACTCCAAACTGCAGGCATGTTCCCATCTAATTGATGTACAAGAGGGAAGGGGGTACAGGCAGACAAAGTAAATATTGTATTATGGTAATAAAAATCTTGGCATGCTGCTTTTAGACATGTATCATCTTTTTAATATCTGGAAGTAGTCAGCTCAGCATGGTTTGGATCCCTGCTACACTGTGCAGTCTGAGGCACCATGATGCTCTGTCTTGGGCCATGATAACCTGTCAGTGAGAACAGGCTTTGTCATTGCCTGTTGCTCAGGATGAAGAAGGTACTAGGACTGCAGCTTTTGTTTGCTGAATGATGATATTAGGAGAGCAGGCAAAAGCTGACTGCATGAAAGGAAGGAAGTCTTTGTATGAAGCAGCATGACAAATTAGGCCATCTGTGTTGTATTTGAAGGTCTTCGGTTCAAATCCTGTTTGGAGTAACTCTTATTATTTTACATGGATCATTAACTACTTAACACTTAATAGGTATCCCTGAACAATATTTGGACTAATGAAAGCACATAAGTAATGTATGTGATCCAGAAGATTTTATAGAGCAACATGGGATTTTCTTTAAACTTCCCATGCAGAGAGTGCTTCCTTTAAGCAAATAAGCAATTTGACATTAGTGATGCTAGGGAAACCATCTAGTAATCAAAATACCCCAGCTCCTTTAAATGTAAACCAGAGCTTAACAATAGCAAATGATACCCATTTATCTTCCCAATGTATAGTATGAGCTGTGTATGCCATTAAGTACTGACTAACATTTTCTCAGGCCTGTCTGCAGGTTTAAATAGCCAGGGGTCTTCAGTCTTACTGACAGCTTCAGAGGCAAAGAAATCTGCTACTGCCAGGTGTGCAGGTTAATAGACATGACTTCCCTTGTCAGTTTAGGCCCTGTATTCTTCACAGTTGCTATGAATTAATTTACTGTTAAATTCTTAAGTTTCTTTTAAACTCTTGTAGCCAGCTGCAGTTATTGCAGTCTGTGTTCCTTCAGCTACCAGCTCATGTGATTTAAAGAAATGAGAGTTTTGTGACTGAAGGCAATTTTTGACAGATGCAGTGAGCTAGGGATGTCTCTGGCTAAATGTATTTAACAAAGGAAGCTGAGTTCTAACTTCTGTGGCTTTGAGAGTCTGCAGGCTGCAGTGGTTGCTTTCTGGAGGCAGTCTGGTTTCACACTGGATGCAAGGCAAGTACTTCCCTTAAGCAGGCAATGCCAACCAACCCACAGCTTGCTTTCCTCTGGACTAGGAAGGGAGTGCAAAGCTGGATACCTAACCTGCTTTTCTGAAATCAGCACCAACCCACCAGTTTTTTTTTTTCTTCCTTTTTAATTTTTTTTTCCTTTGCCAGCAAGACTTCAGCTAATTCTATCATACAAAGAATTGGAGTGGGATATAACATAGTACAAGACCTGTGAGTTCGACCCTAATCAGTTGCTCATTACAGGGCATTCTGTTTCTAGGAGATGCAGAGCTGAAAAACATGCTTGGCTGCTCTTGGAGATGATCCCAAGTGTCTGAAGGTTTTTGCTATATTTATGTATGAAATGATATATAAAAAGGAATTATTTGACCTAAACTGCTTTGGGAAAGGTCTTGCCTGACTATGGCTTCAAATTTTTTGGCTAGCTTACTTTATTCTGGAGTGTTTGAGGAGTGATTGATTGTTCTGGAAGCAAACTAAAAAGATAGATTTGAAGTTGTGAGCTCTCCAGGTCTAAAGAGCATTATGAGAGTAGGCATGTTTTAAGAGTGCACATTGCACTGCTTTAGCAGCTAAGTACAGGCAGCTGCTCTTTGGACAACTTTGTTTTCATAGTTCACACAGCTCATATGTAGGAGAGGTTGATTTATGTGCTGTCCCCACTCGTTTCCATACATGTGGTCAGAAGGGGGAGAAAGAACCTGCCTAATGCAGTAAAGATGCAGCTCTATTCAGTGAAGAAAAGTGTAATTTAAGCAAGTGTTTATTCCAGGAGAATGTAATTCAGGAAAAACACAAATGAATCTTAAATGGCTGAAATCTACAAACGTTTAGAAATGAAACTGCTGTTCCTCATTTTATACAGGTGTGTTTGCATCCCCTTGGCTTGTCTGTGTACTCCATAAATAAGGAACAGATTAGTCTAATTGAAATGGTGAGTACAGTGCTGTTTTGATTCAGTTAGTCACAAAAGCATAAAACTTTTCAGCACACATTTTTGGCAAGCTAGTCACCAGTTTTTACTTCCAAAGTATTGTCATATCTATTGCATTTTCTGGTACACTACAAAGTCCAGTGACCAACTGGGATAATGGGGCCCGCATAATGCTTGCCTACATCAGTCTTGTCACTGTCCTACACCTTGTAACCAAATGAATAAAAAGCTCACAAGAACAAGTATTACAGGAATAGCTTTATTATCTTTAAACAATTTAATTATATTACAATTTATCCATCAATATGCAAAATTAGAAGTATTAAACAACTTCCATAAAATACTCAGGAATGAAGCACATGTGTGTACATACATATACATTTTTAAACAGTGTTATTTAAACAATGACTAAGTTATTAAATCATTGTATGAAATGTTGAAAATGGATGGGCTAATTTCACAGTCAGAAAAGGACAAATGCAGACCCCAGCCTCCTTTACTCTCAGTACATGAGAGACACAGCTTTTAGAAATACCTTTTAACAAAACAGAACTCAAGAGAAAAATATCGCAGTTACTACATTCTTATTTACTGTGCATTTGGTCATATCAAGTATGCATAGAAGTTATTAACTATAAAGCATATGCTCCAAATGGTGATCACATTTTATTCCAGTTTTTGACTCCAATTCCAGCCACGTTCAGGAATCTCCAGACATAATTCATTTTGGTAAGCATATAGAAAAGGAGAGAAAAGTTAACACGCATAGTTGGAAACCAAGTAAGCTTTTGATTTTAAAATGAAACTGCCATAGCCAAATTTGGTTTATAAAGTCATCTAACTGTGCCCAGAGATTGATTTCTTGTCTACTACAAGAAATGCAGGTGTTTAACATATATTTGTAAATGTATTGTGATGACATCATTAACTATTAATGCAATTGGTGCCTGTGGGTCCATAGTTTTCAATCAACTTTAGAAAAATCTCACTTTGTTTAGTACATATTTGAAAGGTCACGTTTCTAAATATTCCTGTTTTTATCAGTTTGAAGATGATAAGCATAAAATGAATTAGGACTGAAGGGAGTACATACAATGTAGTGGTGGCAGATCAGAAATAAGCAAGACCCCACAAGGTGTACTTGGCACCTGCACATCTGGGTTACATTGAGCTTGGAGATTTTAAGGAGACAGCTCTGTTTCTTAAATTTTTGAACTGCATGTTACTGGCTTCCAGTTAATGAGCAGACAATGCACGGTCATACATACATTGAAAGTACTTCTGAAAATTTGATGGTGGATAAAATAAAGTTTCTGTATACAGACAGTTTTAAAAATAAAGTCATGTTGTAGTTCATGTTTTGTTCTCCAAACCACACAAAGGCACTAGTTTACATTATGGACTAATGTCCTGCAGAACTTCACTCAAATAAAGGAAGCTATTTTAAGGTTAAAGTGGTGCTAAAACCCAGCTGTCACTAGTAACTTAAAACAGCCACACTGGGTTTTTCAGATTTAGTGGGGGAAAACGCACATGTTGGGGGAGTGTGGGTGTGGGGGGAAAGGCCCAGCCTTGAGCAAGTTTTTACAGCTGAGTTATAAACCTGGTTTATAACAGAAACTGGCAGACCCTAAAATAAGATATAGAGGTATTGGTACACATTTCTGTGTGTGGTAAAAACGTCCGTATGCACGTAATTTTCCCCCATTCTCTAATTTTTGGTTATTGAAAAGAAAAAGGATTTTGATTAAGCTGTAGTCCAAGGCTGTTCCTTCTCACTTTATTCCTTTGCCAGAACACTTTCCTTCCAGCACTAGTATTTTGGCTAGGAAGCAGGAATGTTGTCAAGATTAGAAAAGCTATTGGGCTTTGTTATCAATTTCTACCTCCTCAAAAATTGCACGCATCTCTACTTGATGTAGGTTACTGCAGAGAAAGCATTGCTTTCAAACTGGTAGGACATTACTACACACACCAGAAACAACTATTAATTAAATCCTTTCCTCAAGGCTTTATTTTTCACCATGGTGAATTTGCTAATGAATACCTGGGCAAAATTTGGATCAACTACATACTGATAGGTTTTTGTTATAGTCAGGGGCTGTTCAGCAGCCACGGCTTGGGGGGCTGGCGCTGCGGCGGTGCTGGGGGCGAGGTGACAAGAGGTCTTTGTGATGTACTCCACCAGGCGGTTGTACTGCTGCTCCGACAGTCTCTCTCTGGCGCCCTCGGCCTGGGATCAGATAAGATACAATAGTTACTGAGGGTTTGACAGTAACTGAGCTGAGCAACAAGGACAACAGCTTCCACATTTCTCTGAATAAAATCTTCCTGCCTGAAATCTTAAAATAGTTTAAAGGATTTTTTTAAATCATGA